TCTCTCTCTCTCTCTCTAAAACCTGTCAACGGAGTTGGGCCATCTACTCCTCAGCTTTATGTTGCCAAATTGGTGAGTGAACGAAAACTTAAAACAGCCAAGAATTGCAATATAAGCTGAGTTGTTCCCAAATTATCCAATGTTGAAAAAATTGGAATGGTGCAATTTCCTCGATGGCTTTTACTTTAGTCTATCAAGGCTGATATCCATGTGGGGAGTAGATGGCGCAACGCCTGTTGTCAGGAAGGCTCAGTAGATGGCTCAACTCAATACTTACTTTCCAAAGAGAGTAACGCAGCACGAACAAAGCAACTCCGCATCACATAACCAAGGCTTGAGTCCCTGAGCATGGTTTAATCAAAGACAGCTCTGGTGTCAAAAACGCCCCTGAACCCCCCAGGTTTCTGCGGCGGACCTGAGAATTCCGTGAGGCCAGGTGCAAAGCCATGACACCATGACCCTGGCAGCGACGTCTCCGTGGCTCGGTCCAAAGATCCGATCACAGTGTTTTGGGCTGTGCTACATTGGTCATTAGTGCAGAATTCACCACCACTAGCATCCTGCTTCCTGGACAAACCAAAAAAACAATAGCGGGTGAACATCCAAAGTAGTCGACCTGAAAACCCGTCGGCCCTTGACAGGTGAGAGTAAGGGATGAATATCAAGAGCTTTGCCCCGACAAAATGGATCCAGCGCCCGCAGTATCTTTAACGACGAAAACCACACAATGTCAGTATCCTCTACAGTGTCCAAAGTAGTATTCAAGATCTCTTTGGGCTTCATGATTGACATGACTGTGTCTCACAGAATCGTGCGCAACCACTGAATCCTTGATCTGCCTTCCAGCTCGCCCTGACGAACGTCAGGCCTCCGTGGCCGTCACCGTCGCACGATGCTCCAAGAGCGCCTGGACGGCCTGAAACAGCAGCGGGCTACTAGTAACGAGTGCATTATTACTAGTAGGGTTGAGGTCATCGCTACGAGCAAGAAGATAGCAGGGGCATCGCTACTAGTAACAAGTGCATTGCTACTTGGCAGCAAAGCCTGATGGTTCCGAGGTCAGGTCTACCACTGGGCTGGACATGGCTGGACCGTTACCTCTGATAAATAACATTGGTTTTGCAGCCGGCGTTCACCACCTGAAGAGCCGTCTTCTTGGTTTGTTTAACTACTGTACACAAGCAGGGGTTCCAAGCTTTACATATTCACCCTCAGTGTGACTGTGGGAGGTACAGATCACGGCCTTCGCACCATTTGGAGATGATGCGGCTGTGTGGAGAGGCGATGTTGGCCGCAAGCCATCCTGGTGGTCTGTCCAGTGTTCGAACGAAGTGGGATGTTCTGAGGTGAATATGCTGGGGATGGTCATGGATGGTCTATCCTGACCGACACTATTCTGAGATGTGCTGGATGAACTACCTTGCAACAAATGCACTGAAACTTGCAAAATCCTTGGATGCTGGTGGGATGTTCATGAATGTCTTTCAAAGGATCATAGAGAGCCTCCTTCTGCTTTTCTCATTTGCGCAAAGGCCACAAGGTGAAATTTGCTAGGGTAGCAGCTACAGGTGCAAAAAGGATCAGAAAGGCATAACATTGCATAACAACACCACAAACCTCATGACAAATAGCAAGAAGGCATTGATTACTAATCTGAGATCCCATAGCACGTTCCCCTGTTCACACATGGCAAGAATAGAACACTCCGGCAAGGCCTTGCCGGTCTGTTGCAAAGAGCGTTGCGCCCGGGTTTGCGCCTGACAAGAGCGACCTTGTAATCACCATTTCACAGCGTTTGGATTCTTTGGCCTCAAAAGACCCGAGATTGTCAATGCAAGCGCCAGATCAAACATTATCAGAGCTGCTGGACCAAAGTTTGTCATAAGTTTGCCATAGTAGACTTGCTTCTTACAGTAAAAACTTAGGAACCAAATGATTGGTGCGAGCGCTTCTTCCTAGGGGGGAGCTTCCTTGAAGAAGCGTGAGCTTTCCTGCGTCCTACCTAGGAGCTAGCCCTTACTTCGGGGGGCCAATACTACAGGTAAACTCAAAGCTTGTCCACACCGGCCCGACCCACGTGAACGTACTCCAGGCTGTCCTGTGCTGACGACCCACACCACCTCCCTGATTGGATAACCACTGCTTGGAGGCTCTGGGAGGTTCTTCCAGCAAACAAGTGAGAGGAGGCAGCAAAAGCATGCGAGAAGCAGAAGTAGGATGGAATTGATGGAATTAATCCGGCTCGTGGGGTCAGGCGTGACTGTCGATTAAGGCTAAGGCTATGATTAAGGCTATACCTCCCCTACCCCTCCGGAGCCTTGTTGGAGTAACGCAAAGTAGCCAAAAATGGTCCAAGAAGTAGCCAAAAATTGTCAATTGATTTACATCTTGGGGCACCCTCTCCACCCACGCGGGAAAATAAGCACGGTCCCAAATGGTCCCGGGCTCGAATCCCGGGCTGGTCCCTGCCAGTGCCCTTGGTTTTTCCTAGATGTTGTAACGTTTTCCGCTGGATTTCTATTATTTTCACAGGCTTTTGTAAGATTTACTCATGCCTTTCATGCCTTTTTCGAGGGTTTTTCCAGGATTTGCTCTGGCTTTTCTAGGTAGTTCTGTGGTTGTGTAGGGGCTCCGTGTTGTTTTTTGGGTTCCCAGATTAAAAATGCTAACCCATTTGCCGTGCTCTCTTCTGCCTACTTTGGTGATGCAGTGACAGATCATGTCTCTAGGGGTTCCGTGTTGTTTTTTGGGTTCCCCGATTTTTCGAAAAAAAACTAACCCATTTGGCTGCCTGTGGTCTGGCCCGGGCGAGAAGCCCCGTCAGGGCCGTGTCCTGCGTAAGGCACTTCTCCTTCTGCGAAGCAAAAAGCAAATCCGCCCCCAGGTGGGGGGACCCAGAAAACTCAGTGTTTTTGACAATTTTTTCCCGCGCTTGTTGCTCACGATGGGTCAACATAGCCCAACATAGGCCCAAATAAGTTTGGGAATGCGTGCCGCACCGGGGTGCTTCGTCTGCATCGTGGGCGGATGCTGGGCTGCTAACATGGGCCCAAGCTAGGCCAACGTGGGCTCAAGCTGAGCCAACATGGGCCCAAGATGGCCCAAGCTAGACGCAAGCTATGCTCAACATAGCCCCAAGACCGCGCAACAAAGGCTCCAGATGGCCTAAGCTAGACCCAAGCTGTGCGCAACATAGCCCCAAGCCCGCCCAACATCCACTCCCTCAGCCTGCGCCCGCGCCCAATCTTCCACCCTCCAGCCCTACCTCAACGCCCCTGGCCGGCTGTCGGGCGTAAGGCCTTAAATCCGGCCAGGGCCGCAAGCCCAGGCCCGTGGCATCCCGCAGGGTTCTCTCCCCTTCGGAGAGGAGGGGCTCCACCCCCTGCCGCCGACCCAGGGGGGCCAGGCTTGGCTAGAATTAGATTATGGAAACCGTCCTAGCTACGCCCCCGGCGCAAGATGGGCCCAAGATGGAGCCAACATGGGCCCAAGCCAACTTTGATGCCGAAAACATGGCTCCAACATAGGTCCAAGATGGGCCAACATAGCCCCAAGATAGGCCAACATAGGCGCAAGAAGGGGCCAACATAGGTCAGATGGGCCAGCGTGGCCCCAAGCTGGGCCAACATGGGCCCAAGCTAGGCCAACATGGGCTCAAGCTGAGCCAAGATGGCACCCTCAGCAACTACGGCCCTCCAAAGCCCTTAAATCCGGCCAGGGGCGACGAGCCCAGTCAGGGCCGTGCCCTGCGTAAGTAAGGCATTCTCCTTCAGAAAGCAAATCCGCCCCCAGGTGGGGGACCCAGAAAACTCAGTGTTTTTGATGTTTTTTCCCGTGCTTGTTGCTCACGATGGGTCAACATAGCCCAACATAGGCCCAAATAATGTTGGAAATGCGTGCCACACCGGGGTGCTTCGTCTGCATCGTGGGCGGATGCTGGGCTAACATGGGCCCAAGCTAGGCCAACATGGGCTAGCTGAGCCAACATGGGCCCAAGATGGCCCAAGCTAGACGCAAGCTATGCTCAACATAGCCCCAAGACCGCGCAACAAAGGCTCCAGATGGCCTACGCTAGACCCAAGCTGTGCGCAACATAGCCCCAAGCCCGCCCAACATCCACTCCCTCAGCCTGCGCCCGCGCCCAATCTTCCACCCTCCAGCCCTACCTCACGCCCCTGGCCGACTGTCGGGCGTAAGCCCTTAAATCCGGCCAGGGGCGCAAGCCCAGGCCCGTGGCATCCCGCAGGGTTCTCTCCTCTCCTCCTCCACCCCCTGCCGCCGACCCAGGGGGGCCAGGGGGGCTAGCTACGTCCCCGGCGCGTTTTGGGCTAGAATTAGATTATGGAAACCGTCCTAGCTATAGGTCCAAGATGGGCCAACATGGGGCCAAGATGGGCCAGCATGGCCCATAGCTGGGGCAACATGGGCCCAAGCTAGGCCAACATGGGCTCAAACTGAGCCAAGATGGCACCCTCAGCAGCTACGGCCCTCCAGCCCTCACCTGCGTAAGTAAGGCATTCTCCTTCAGAAAGCAAATCCGCCCCCAACCAGAAAACTCAGTGCTTTTGATGTTTTTTTTCCCGTGCTTGTTGCTCACGATAGGTCAACATAGCCCAACATAGGCCCAAATAATGTTGGAAATGCGTGCCGCACCGGGATGCTTCGTCGGCGTCGTGTGCGGATGCTGTGCTAACATGGGCCCAAGCTAGACGCAAGCTATGCTCAACATAGCCCCAAGACCGCGCAACAAAGGCAAGCTGTGCGCAACATGGCCCCAAGCCCGCCCAACATGCACTCCCTCAGCCTGCACCCGCACCGAATCTTCCACCCTCCAGCCCCCTACCTCAACGCCCCTGGCCGGCTGTCGGGCGTAAGCCCTTAAAAATAATGTCTTCATGTAACATGATGTAACATGTACCAACTCAAATAAAGCTACAGTATATATATACTTGGTCCAAGGCCAAACAGCCAAGAAAAAGGGACGAAGCACAAATAAAAAACCCTGCTTCATGTTGTAAACCCTCAACCAACAGCTTTCACTTATCATCAACTAAACCATAGCAAGCCAAACATCCACACGCAGCTTTTTGTCAAAGCACGCGATGCTCAGAAGTGTGGATCTGAGCACTATGTCACTATGTCCAATCGATACTCCAGCTGGTAAAGGGTGGACCATATCATCCACAATTGAAACCAAGCCGCGACGACAAGGATGTCACTTACGATTGAAGACAGCATCACCTTTCTTAGGGTTCATTTTCAGTGATCAACCTTCCTTGTCCTTATCCCATACCCCTGCCAAGCTGGCAAAGCATGGCTCTAGTTACGAGGCTGCTGCCCAATTCTTCATCTCGCGCTTCATACTGGCTGCCGACTTCTTTGAATAACCTCACGGGAAGGATGACCAAACGGAGACCTGTGGAGCCCTCCGAGGAGAAGCCGGAGAAACGAATACTCACCCATATATATAGACGTATGGACATGACATATCACATTATAGTGGTGCACAATAATGTCTCAAAACACTCCGACCTTCGTCAAGATTGGGTCCACTTTGCTCTGTTGGAGATCCAATGAACAACATTCCATCAACTAGACTGGAGGTGCACTAGGACACAATTTGACACATGTTCGCTGCTACAGTGCTTCCGAGTTGCGGTCTCGCCGTTTCAACTGCTCCTGGCACATCTGGGAGCTTTGACAAGTCAGAAGAAGAGATTGCAAAGACTAAACACTGGGCCTTGTGCCAAGGGCTACTCAAATCCAGCTGTCACGACACAAATTTGATAAACCTACAGTATCAACTCAAACAACTTTACCCTCTGTCCACAGGAAGCAAGTTTCACTTCTGAAAGTACTCTCAGTTGAACTTGTTAATGGAGACAGGTTCATTTCAAATATATATAATCTTATCCTGCCAATATGCCTGTGATGCCCAATTGGCATCCACTGAAGAAACACATTTGCCTTTCTGGTCTTAGCTGCCAGTGCAATGTGATCATAAGAGTCGTAAGAGATCATATGAGATCATAAGGATAAGGATACTACATGACAACTTAGCGCTTCCTTCGGCAAGGACCACCCTGGTTGCCGCCTCATCGGTAAGGGGAATCAGGCCGCCAGGCGACAGGATGGACTCAGGTACACGTGGAGCCTGTGCTTCGGTGCAGGTTCCCGGTCTTTCTCATTGTGGTTCTCGATGCTGCGGCATTGCGCGCGAAGAAAAACCACCCCAAGACTCGGCAGTCAACCTGGGAATTCTAGGCACCTCGGGACAGTAGACATCTGCCACAAAGCTGGCCATTGTGTGGCTAAAGGGCTCACGCCGGAGACGTGTGTACCTGAGGCGGAGTGGGTGATCTTTTTCATAGGACCCTCGCGTGACCCCTGCCCCACTAGGAGCAAGGACGCTACTAGGGGCTCCTGGCATCGCTACTAGGAACAAGAAGACAAAAAGAAGCAATAGGGGACGGGATTGGACAGTTTTCTATATTGAGATGAGTTTCAAACCAGGACATGACCAATCACTGAGGAACCAGCTGGGGCATGGTTCCCAAACACTTCATGAGACTGTTGGTGCAATTGTTTGAGGCACTGAGGCTTAAGTGAAAACTGTAAAAACAGAGTGAAATCCAAGCGGTTCGAATCCTTATTTTAAGCTTCCACAGGTGGCCCACCACTGTGTCGTTTCACGCAAAGTTGGGTCACACGACCAAATGAGGTATCCATCATGTCGTTTCTCACTCTGTGAATGAAG